GGTGACCCATCTAAAATATCTCCTGAACTAGCGGGTCTTCAGGAAAACTGTAAAGCTTATTGAAAGAGAAAAGATAGGGCGGTTTCAAGACGATTTTAATCCTGATGAAATTGCGTTCGAAATAAGTAATCCTCGTGTGAAGCATAAAAACCCGCTTGCCATTTACCCCTAGCCGATCCGAAACCCATCCGAAATATTTCACGAACGGGGAAACATTCAGATTGCAACTGGGTAGAAAACGCAACAGTAGGAACATTCCCGTTGCATGCTGCTAACCATTCATCAAAAGCCGCGCCCCTCAAAGAGATATAAACCCCCCGAAAAGACCCCAGGACGTTGGACAGGCCGCTCCAATGACGTTTTTCCAATGAAAGCGGTCGCAACGTTGCGATCGATAATAGCCAAGTATAGAACGATATACTGCCGCCTGGTTATCCATTTTTTTCATTTGGCTCCGCATTTTTTTGTATTTTTCATGTTTCGCTTTGTTGTGTCGTGCATGTTTTCATGATTTCCCCGTCACCATTCATTGAATGCACATGGGGCCTGACACGCTGACCTTGGGGCTATTTTTTTCACCAATTTAGCTTATCAATGATCACCATTAGTCGCTGTTTCGATTGTGTTCCTTGTTACAAGTTGCATGTCATACATGGTTGTCGAACGACGAGTTTTATTTTGAATCCTAAGACAAAATTGTAGGTAATGCGAGGCTGTTGTTCAGCTGAAACAGCCTCTTATTGCCTGGATTTTAGAGCAGAGTCCGCCTTTCGAAAATCCAGATTCCATTTCAGGAAGCCATTTGTGGTGAACATGCATCTGGTTGTCAGTTAGAGCAGGGGGTCGTAACTGGACCCTCTTCGGGGGGGGGTCGTACTCACACCGCCATTTCGCACATCCCCATGCTGTACCCTTGCACGCATATTGCGCACGAGGATCACGCATCGTCATAAGCACTTTCCAGCCGACACCTACCACTCCATAACGCTTTTTTGAAAGAAGTTGCTACCACTTTTTCCAGGAATTTTTCGGCAGTTTTGGGTTTGCTCAGTCTCCACTCCACGGAACAATTACAAGCACACTTTCCCGTAGGAGCTCCGCTTCCTTCCAAAAATTGCCCCACTTAACGGGTTACAGTCTTAAATAGTAGTTAATTGCTCATCATTCGGAATAAATCTTGTCTGTCTCTTATGGAACAAAATTTGAAACATCATGGCCACGCTGGAATATGGACGTGGTAGTCAGAGGGGCTCTCAGTAGGTCCATAAGGCATGCTAACGAAAGTCTCGAAATTGCTTTAAAAAGTCGCGAATTTAGTTGAAAGGTCGTGAGTTTAAAAGGAAATGATGTAATCTTTTTTGTTCGTTTATCTCTGACAGAACAAGCTATCCTTGCACATCTGCTTCGCCAAACATTCTTGTTCCCTAATAAAAACTTTTTAGCTCCGCACTGATGTGGAAGGAACGCTGGAAGCAATTCTGAATGTTATAGATACTTACGATAGCGAAAAATGCAAATTTCAACTAGTTGATTTCGGTGTCGGTGCACCCACGAACATGGATGTGGAAATGGCTAAAGAGACCGGAGGTGGGATTTCAGTCGCAAAAAACAAATGTTTGCGAGACAATTGAAATTCCGGTCTTGTTTCAGCTTTGATCTACTTGTTCAACGTTCAGCCACCTTCAGCTGTTAAGAGGCAGGCTGAACAAGACGGCGTTCGCATAGAATTATTCAACGTTATTTATCGACTCGTAGAAGCATTAAAGGATGAGTTTGTCTCAGACGTTACGCAAACGTTAACGTGAAATGGACCAATCTCGTTGGAGAGAAGGTCATGTGCTGAAGGTGTGAAACGTTTCAGTTCCCATATTATGGGGTTATCATTTTCAGGGCAGTTCGGCGACGGCGGGGGGGCGGGCATTTTGCATTTTGCTACTTAACGGCCATTCTGCATGAGCTTATTAGAGTTGAATGGTTTAAAGACAATTAGTACGCTCACATACATTGAGGGTGTATGAGACTATCAGCCCCCCAGCTGTCGATGTGTCGTGGTCCCCCCGCCCAAACATGCCCAGGAATGGAGATACAGGACAAAATGGCAAAATATCCTCCCATGCTCACCGCTATTACACTTTTTGCGGCGCAGATTCCCGTCCTTCATAACATCCGTCGTAAGCGCGCGTGTCGCGTGCGGCTCCTTGGCACTTTGCCAAGTCCTTTAATTGCGCTCTCAAATACAGTAAAACGCAATTTCCTGATGCGGATAACATTGGAGGTGCTACAAAATAAGAACAGAAGATGATGACGGGCCAGAACTCAAGAGCAACTCGGCTGCATCTGCAGTATCCATCAGAGGCCGCACATTCCCACAAAACAGAATAAAAACAGCCCAAGCGTCCCACTCGTTTGTTCTAAGTATTTCTATGCTTTGGCGCCGGGATTCGCGCCAGATCGAGAAATTTACAGGCGATTTTAAATAATTTGCCTTTCCTTGATTTTTTCATTCTTCTTTTATTTACATTTACATCGTTGTGCTTCTTTCTAGCCTGTGTCATCTTCATCTCCTTGTGCATGGATTTTGAAGCATGAGCAACACCTCAAATTTTATTCGCATCAGGAAATTGCGTTTTGCTTGTATCAAACTAACGAGTATGCCGTTTTATTTTCATGTTTCGTGGAAATACGCGGCCTCCGAGGGATGTTGCAGAAGTGGCACAGTTGCTTTTAAGTTCTGACCCTCGTCATCATCTTCTGTTCTTACTTTGCAGCATCAATGTTATCCGCATCAGGAAATTGCGTTTTACTTGTATTTGAAGCGCAATTAAAGGACTTGGCAAAGTGCCAAGGAGCCGCACGCGACACGCGCGCTTACGACGGATGTTATGAAGGACGGGAATCTGCGCCGCAAAAAGGTGTAAGGCGGAGCATGGAGGAATTAAGTGTGTTTCACGGTCCTGTATCTAAACATTCCTGCATGTTTGGGGGGGCGGATCACGAGTACACAAATATCGACAGGCTGGGGGCTGAAGTCTGCATACACCCTTCATGTGTGTGAGCGTACTATGTGGCTTTAAGCAGGGTGGGTCGACGAACTTGCTCCAGCTTCACAACAATTCACAGGTTTGACCAGATTGAGCTTTGTAAACCGGAACAGTGAGGCAGCGAAGGTGCAGAATACTCCCCCCCCCTGCCCGTTCGTTTTCTACTCATTGTTTCCGGAAGTCCAGCCAGATTTTGGTCGAACTTATGGTTGGTACTCTCTTATCTGGAGTAGGCTGAAACGCCCGAAACGTGCGCCATGGCGCTAGAATAGTTCTATCAGGATAGCGACTGAAAACCCGGGTGCCAGACGGTGTCGCGCTGCAGAAGAGTGTAGAAATGGTATTTAAGAGCCAGATCACCTTAATAAGGTGTAATTTGATTGGAATCTATCCATCGAAAAATGATTAACATACCCACCATGCCACCACAACTGGCCTGAATTCCAAGAATTGAAGCTGTCCTCTATTTCTTGTCCTTTGTCGTGTACCGAAAGTAAAAATTTCCAGGAGTTCCAAATCAGTGACCGTAATCGGAAAAAACAACCTATTGCTGGCGTTCTTGTCGATTGGGGAAATTTCCAGAAGTAATTATCTCTTTTTATTAACGAACTTTTAGGTCAGTGTTCCTTCATCTCTCATTTCAGAAACTGCATTTTCAAGTTTCTACGTGCTGGAAAGCCGTTTTATGAGGGCGAGGTGGAGTCGATGAAACAACAAACAGAAGTGGTCACCACAGCGAAAACGAACACCGAGGTATTGCATTCACTCAGTTGTTTGACACCCATGTTGACAGTGACAGTGGTGGTACGGTAGACATCTTTTACAGGTTGGAATTGCTCTCGAAGATAAAAGTATACGATTCAAAGAAGATGACACTGTTGAAGTGTACAGGCAAAAAGAAGTGCCGCAGACCATTGACTGGAATCCTCCCGGTTTCTGATCGCTGAAGTTCCAATAAATCATGGATTGTGTGATCTTTGGTTATATTAGCTTAGGTTAGCTGTATTAGATTTTTAGATTAGCTATGCTAGATACATGCCTTATACATACATGAACTGTGTCGCTGTGATGTTGTACATAATGTAATAATAAATTATTCAAGTCTTTTGTGCTGCTATTTCGGGAACAGCTATGCATTATGTTTGCGCCATACTTCCCCTCATGAATTTCATTTTTAATAGTCTATTCAAAACGGCGGTCTATTTTTGAAGTGATGTTCAGTGTGATAGCAGTATTGTGGACTGGTAGCTAGATGTCATGGACGTGGAAAATGTAAAACTTGTTGATGGACTGATTTTTGGTTATCTTGGTAGGCGACAGGTTAGTCTTGGTTTTCCGTTGCTAAAATTCAAATATGCGACGTGGCATGGTAGGGGGCGGAGAAATATCATCTTTCGTCACATACAGCGCCTTTTCATTTTCTCACGTCGCACGTCATTTAGTGCTGGGGATGAGGATTTTCGTTTAATGATGGTAAGGAGCTACGGTGAAGGTGAACCGATTTCTGTATAGTGGAAAGGTTCCCGCGTATCGTGGAAAGTTTTTCGTCCGGTTGTAGTTCGAGACATCCGAAAAGCGGTCATCGTCGTGGGCCAATTAATGTTTCCTAGTTAGCTGAATTGAAACGCCACAGCATTGCCACATACCCGTAGGGTCCTGATGCGGAGCAGCTCGTGGGCGGTAAACATTTTGTTAACCCTGAGCACGGCCCTTTCCTCAGCCAGAGGAACTAGGCCACCGATGAATCTTCAAGTAACAGAATAGATGAGATTCCTAAGCACGTCGAGCAGTAGTGGCCTTATTTCCAATGGTCTATGAAAATGTGGGTTGCGCAACGGAAATTGATAACAATTGGTGGGAGCTGATAAAGGACGTTAAAAGGGACGACGAGCAATACAATTGTAATATGTTCCCGTTTCGCGGCAAATGCGCGGCAGGTTCCCAATATGTAATAAATTTGTCGATTGGAGTAGCGAGACTCGTATGCGTTCGAGTGTATACAAGACTCCATATGGGCAATAGTGGGACCTTATTTCCATTTTTCCCGTCGCTTTCATCACTGGAATTTGAACGGTTGGGAGGACAACTCACCTTTCGTTAATCGGCGTCGCTCCCGGCACCAGCGCAAGGCGAGCCTAGTCAGATGATTATTTGTCACATGCCCCTTTTGGAGGGAGAGGATCATTAGCGTTATAGCACATGTCGTAGCAATAGTGGTACCTTGTCCCAGGAAGTGATATAGAGCGTGGGCCGTTGAGTTGGTGTGGCGGGAAGTGATAACAGCTGATAAGGGCTGATGGCAACAAGTTTGCCCAAAAAATCTGCTACACCCCTCAGAGTCGTACCGCGAATTGATATGACCCGTGTCTAAGGCTTTCACTTCAAAGCGGAATTTAAGCCTATTCTAATAGTAGTAGTGATAT